CTATTCAAATATTTATTTGATCCTCCTATATCTCAGGTGCTATTTCAGGTGCTGGGTGTATAGCAGTAAACAAAATAAACAACAACCCTGCTCTCATGATGGCTATAGTATAGTGAGGGGTCACAAAAATAAACAGATATACACATAATATATCACTTAGTGGTCACTGCTATTAGAAAAATAGAACAAGGTAAGGGGAATAGGGAGTTCTTTTGTGGGGGTTGGAGGGGATTGCTATGTTGTAGATTATCTTCAAAGGAGCAAGCCCTGTAAATCTCTGATCCAAACCTCATATCCAAACCAGATGATAAAAAGACTTTTAGTTGGAAATCTAATGTTTTGAGAGACCCATTTGAGACCCAAGGCCAATATTTTTATTTTCCTATATAAGAGACTTACTAGTTTATCTCTCTTTTTTGTTTTTTGTTTTTGTTTTTTTGAGGCAGAGTCTGGCTCTGCTGTCCAGTCTATAGGACAGTCACAGGAACTGGCTCATGGCAACCTCCGTCGCCTGGGCTCAAGCCATCCTTCTACCTCGGCCTCCCAAGTAGCTGGGACTGCAGGCGCATGCCACCATGCCCAGCTGAATTTTTGTATTTTTTTAGAGTTGGAGTTTTGCCATGTTGCCTAGGCTAGTCTCAAATTCCTGAGCTCAAGCAATCCTCTTGTCTCGACCTCCCAAAGTGCTAGGATTACAGGTGTGAACCACCATGCCTGACCAGTTTATCTCTTTGAAAGAAAGAGTTTGATTTGGATTTTATGTACAGTAGGTAACCAATCATGTGTCTTGGGGTCTAGAATTCCTCAGATGCCTCACTTATTGAATATAGAGTGATGTTCTTCAGAATTCCCAAGCTTGTAGTCTTGAGGATTTTCACAAGTGTTCCAATGACTGTTTCAAAGACCAGTTTATCTTTCAAATTCTCTTTAGAGAAATCTTTCAATTTCTCTTTCAAAATATCTTTCAAATTCTCTTAGTTTGAAAACATTCCTTTTGCTACTGAAGGTACTTACTTTTAATGATCTTCCAGCTAGGCTTTTCTTGCGTTTTTTGGTTTGTACTCTGTACATTCCTCACTTTTTGTATCAAACTCATCACCTCCCCTTTAAAGCATATCTTTTTTCCCACATTTTTTGGTCTCTCACTGAGAAACTCTATTTCTACTAAAGATATTGTTTTATACATTTTAAAACAGATCTCTCGGACTTGTAACTTCTATCTAGTTGCTCTGTTTAAAGTCACTGGATATCAGAAGTTAATTATATGGTTAGTTTCACATCTAGGCATGCTCTAACATGATTAAGATGGGGTTGTAAGCATAATACTAAGGGTGGAAATACTTATAATTTCATGACTTTGTCACTCAGAAAATAAAAATCACTAATCCTAAGTGATATGAAAATACATTCTTAGATATAATGGTCAGTTTTAAATATAAGAAAATAATCTTTCATCATTCCAACTTCTAGTCTCCAGAAGAGTTCTATTTAAAAATTGGGATGAAGGAGAAAGACATTAATACTTGAAGTACCAGATGTTGTAGTGTACTTTTTGTATGTTGTCTATGAGGTAAGAATAATTATCCCTTAACATTATCATTTTACAGTCAGGAAACTCAGCAATTCAGATTACTTGCCTGGGGTGATGCAGCCATTAAGTGACTGGAGCCAGGATTCAAACTCAGGTACATCTGAGCTGACTTCAGAGCCCACATTGCATCCGTTATATCAAACTGCCTGCCTTATCAGATGAGGGCTAGTTATTATTTTTTGAAATAATGGATGCATTTGAAATCAGAGCTAGTTCTCAGACATTTTCACTGATGTCCAAAGTGCTAAACAATTTTGTTTGCCGTCTGAAATTCCACCCTGTATCTCTGAGTCCAAAAATCATACTAAAATGCAATGAAAGAATCACAGAGATTACCTTGAACCTACAGTAATATGAATACTTTACACACTGAAGTTGATAAATGTTTTGCTTTCAACTACTATTAGTAACAAATCACTTTACACACATCTCACTGCCAGTGTGATGAAATCCCAGTGTTGAGAACTACAGGATAAAGGAGCCATTCCCAGACACAATCCCCTCCATTTAATTTATTTCCAATAATAAATTAGTCAGTAACTGGACAGGTATTTGTTTAGCTAGAAAAAGGAAACCAAGCTGCAAAATTGGAGATTTAAGATTGAATGGATGAAACTAAAATGGCTAAAATTAAACAAAGATACTTATGACGAGGTAGATTTTTAGATTTCATAGACAGCCTGCAAATGTTATTAACAGACAGTAGGAGGTCAGTATATAGGTGTTTGTTTTTGCGTTCTTAGGTGTTAGAATCTGGAGAGAATTTTAAAAACTATTTTTAATTTAATTGAACCAAATTGGCTTTTTTATACTTCAGTTTTTAAAATGTTTTAGTGAAAATATGTAAGAATAGTTTTAAGCAATGTAAAACTCGACCTTTCAGAATGGAAATTATATTCGATGTATTTAATTTGAAATCATGTATTCTAATAAATGTTCATGGTTAACTAAAGAAGTTTAGTGATAGAGATTCAGCATACTCTGGACCTGGGTACCTGGTCGTAATAGAGTCCCAGAGAGTCCTCCAAAGATGATGCAAAGTAGAGAAAAGCATGACTCTATGGCCTAGCACCTGGAAGATTCTATTCATCTTTAGGAACTGTTTTGTTTCTATTCTTTATAGCTATCTATTTTCATTTACAGCATATACCTTTTCTCAGAAGTACAGGGATGATGAACCAAGTCATTCTTACTGTATTTCTACGATATGTAAGTTAGTTAGTTCTACATTGAAAATAGTGAAAAACTTCAGGAAGAAAGGGTAATTGAGCATGGCTTATACATTGGTCAAGAAAAACATCAAGTACATTTAAGGAGTACATTTAGGAGAACATTAGAATCCAGATGGAAACTTCTTCAGCAAACATTCCAAAATAGGGTGTTTTCAAGTTACATTATACAACCATATCACTTAACTTGTCCTATACTATTTTTACTTCAGTAGCAGAGCAGATATGATTGTTTAAGATCAAATCTTCTTGGCTAGTGATTTAATAATCCCTTTGCATTTCGGTTCATGATTATGGGGATTAACTTCTGAAAGGGCTTCTTATTTCAATAGTATATATTATCTTAGCTATACCACTTTATTATTATATTTGACATATCTCTATACCCTGAATTTTCATTAAAAGTTTATATTTTAATTACTCTTAATTATTCCTAAATTTCATCCCTTCTGTCCATTCTTTTGGTCACCTGTCTATCCTAAACTTTAGCTGTTTGAATACTGAGATATAGTGGTATCTTATGATTGATCTTGCCTCAGTTTCTAACTCTTCCAAGCTGTTCTTACATGTCTACCAAATTAATATTCTTTAAGCAATCCTTTAACCAAATCAAGTAAACCCGTTACTCAAAATTTTCTGATTCATTTACCCCTATCTCGCAACATAGACATTTAGCAACGTTGGCCATGGGAGCCTAGTTGCTGGCCTCCATGCTATCCCAATAATATAATAACGACTGCCCAGTGCTACCCACCCTGTCCTCCAAAAGTTTTTCTACTAGGTTGAAGATGAACCCTTCCTAACCCTATTCCATCCCTCCAGCATTCCATATCGTCCATGTTGGTCATTGATGCAGCTTAGAATCCATCTCTTCCATTAAGACTTTTCTTCTGTTGAATGCACACTGATCATTCCCTCTTCTGAATTCTTAACTACATTATAAATTGTTATATACTTTCCTTTTTGATTGCATATTGCCTTCACCTACTGATTAAGATGTGTATGTTTTGTCCTAGGTTTAAAAAAAAAAAAGTGTAACTCTGTTTTTGGAGAAATATCCTGGACCCCTGCTATAGGCTCTATTCTTTACCACTTCATCAAGAAAAGGTGTAATGGATTAGAAAAAAATATATAACACTAGTTATATATATTTATGATCTAAAATCTGCTATCTCAAACTATGATCAGTCTAAAAATTTAGCTTACTAGCTGTGTTTACTTTTAACTTGTCATAGCCCTGAAATTCCCATGAAAATTTAATAAAGGTAAATAGAAAAGTGGTTTTATTTTAGATTGAATGCCTTCATTTCAGTTTGATTTCTCTGAAGTTCTAGTCGTGTGGATAGGCCAGATTTAAGTCTACATTATTAATAATTGTTGCATCACTTGAAGCCAGTGGACCGTAGCCTCAGCTTTACTTCCTGGTGATTTTACAGTTTTACTTGGCCTTTTTGCCTAATTATTATTTAAGCCCTGAGATTTAATTTACAAAGTTCTGGAAAAAAAAAACTTAGAATATACTTAACTAGGATTGTGCCTTTTAAAGAACGTTTTGCTTCTTGACTTTTTATACTTTTTAAGCTCTTAAGACTCAGTGTTGAATATTATTTTTATTATAATAAGGTTCTGTTACAGGCTAATTTGCAGTTAGGTTAACTATTTTCATTGTGCAATGTAAATCTAAATACAGTTTTGTTTACCTCACCCTGATTGAAGTCAGAGAAGCCCTCTTGAAATGGAAGAGAAATTAACATGGCAAGTGAGTGATTTGTTTATACTATGCATTAGACAGGCTCATTGTGGTTATATTAGACACCAGTCAGTTTTTACATATTAGACATGGCAATTGAATGATCTTAATTTTGCTCGTTAAAATAATTTTTCTGATGTATCAGTAAGATTAAAATTTTTACATTGAATTTTAATATCTGCCTGCTGCTTAATTCCAGAATGATAAAAGTGTATTGTATGTGATGTACACAATACCACTTAATACAAATCTTGCTGTATTTGCTGCTGATTATACATCATTATAGAATGCCATGACAGCATAAGGGAATACTGCATAGCAGAGAGAAAAATAATCTATGATTTGATTAAAAGGATACAATTATTCTGAACTGTCACATCATGTGGGATTTTTTACAAAGTTTTTTTTATTTTATTTAACTCTTGCTAAGGATTTGAAGCATTCATTACCATCTGGACTTGGTCTCTCAGAAACTCAAATTACATCTCATGGCTTTGACAATACCAAAGAGGGGGTTATTGAAGCAGGAGCATTTCAAGGTAAGAGCCCATATATTTGTAAAGATGGCTGGGGTGGAGGATGGGAGAAGTTCACCAAATGCTACCTTTATTAATAAAGCACAAGAATGAAGGCCTTTCATTCTGTGATAAAACATTGATTATAAATGTCATCCTTTTGCTCTTCAATTTAAGTATTATAGGAATTATTTCAGTAGTCTCCTTTATATAAACAGATCAATGTGCATGATATCACTGGTTATTATTTAAGAATTGGTTGTAAAATACTGAAATAAAAACAAAAATTATATCAGAAATGTAGACGTAGATTATTTTAACGTGTAACTATGAAATTTATAAATCAGTGTTGATTTTCGTAAATACAGATTTCTTATTTCAAAGCAAATAGAAAAATGAACTTTTTACTTATATAGAAGGTCTCCAAGACCACACTCACTAAAAGTTTGTATTTTAATTACTCTTAATTATTCCCAAATTTCACCCCTTCTCTCCATTCTTTTGACCACCTCTCTATCCTAAAGTGTAGCTATTGAATACCTGAGATATAGTGGTATCTTATGATTGATCTTGCCTCAGTTGCTGACTCTTCCAAGCTGTTCTTACATGTCTGCCAAATTATTATTCTTTAAACATTCCTTTAACCAAATCAGTAATTTGCTAGGAGAACTCACAGGACTTACATAGTGACACTCATGGCTATGATTTGTTGTAATGAGAGTAGCAAGCACAATCAGTAAAGGCAAAAAGTGCATGAGCTAAGTCTGAGGAAAACCAGGCATAAGCTTCCAAGAATCTTCTCCCAGCTTAATCGCACAGGACTTGCTTAATTCCTGCAGCAGTGAGACTGACAACATATGTGAAATTTTGCTAACTAGGGAAGCTCACTTAGAAACTCCATGCTTGGGATTTTTACGGGGAGCTGATCACATAGGTTTCTCTGTCTGTTACATAACAAGATTCTAGACTTCCAGAAGGAAAGCAGGTAAGCAGCATAGGCCACATTGCAGGTAAACAGCTTAAGCACAGTGAGGCACTCGTAATCATTCTGGCAATGGAGGGAATCCTCCCAAAATTCAAGTTCCCGCATGCCAGCCTTTTTAAGGATAGGCAGTTAGACCTGCTATGTTAACTCTTTTCTGCATACATCTCATATCTATGTCTGTTTTTAATATTGCCTCCTTTCTTAATGCTTTTACTTGTGATAACTTTTTTAAACTTTTTTTTTTTTTTAACTCAAGCGAAAGTAAAGCCATGTAAACATTTAGATGTGGGAAATAGATGTTCTAGACAGGACTGTGAAGTGTAGCTATAGTTTATGTTCAGTTCAATTAAGCGCATATTAATTTTAATGCTGCATTAAATTTTACAAAATGAAGAAACAGTTATGTCCATGCCTTGTAAACCATAGCCCTCTTGCAGATATTAGTATTCTGTATTTTTTTTTTAAAAA